ACCGTGTTGACCAGGATGGTCTCGATCTCTTGACCTCGTGATCCACCCGCCTTGGCCTCCCAAAGTGCTGGGATTACAGGCTTGAGCCACCGCGCCCGGCCTCTGTTTTTTTTTTTGAGACGAAGTCTTGCTCTGTTGCCAGGCTGGAGTGCAGTGGGGATCTCAGCTCACTGCAACTTCCAACTCCCTGGTTCAAGTGATTCTCCTGCCTTGGCCTCCTGAGTAGCTGGGATTACAGGCATGTGCCACCACACCTGGCTAATATTGTATTTTCAGTAGAGACGGGGTTTCTACATGTTGGTCAGGCTGGTCTTGAACTCCCGACCTCAGGTGACCCACCTATCTCGGCCTCCCAAAGTGATGAGATTACAGGTGTGAGCCACTGCACCTGGCTGGTTCTTACCCTTTCTATCCTGATCCGTTTTATACTTTTTTTTCCCTGTTCAGGTTTTAACCTTGGACAATTATTACAAGTCAAAAGAAATTATCTAGACAGTGGTATTAAGGGCCGTTTTATCTTTTTACGTAAAAAACTAATCAACTAAACTAGTAATAAAACTATAAAAGACTAAAAGTAAAAACTAAAAAAAAAACATATTGTCTAAATATTAAAAGCATTTCCGTTTCACTTTGTTCTGAAACTATATACACATATATATGCTCAGGGGCCAAGTGATGGGAAGTTTTGTGTTTTGGCAGGGTTAGGACTTTCACCCCTTCCCTCCCCAATTTTACATATGTAAGACAAAAAAACTCAAAGAAAAATGGAGAATTACTTTTAGCCTAGTGCAAATTAAGAAAAAAAAAAGAAAAAGAAAAGAAAAGAAAATGGAGATTTAGAATTATGCACATTAGGGGTTCATGAAAATGCCTATGATGCAAACGTTTGGAAACTGAGGTATCTTAACCGCATGAATGTTTCATAAAACGTAATCTGGAGGGTCTGTTTTAAACCAGTGCCCTCCTGGCCGAAGGTGAGGGCTCACTCAGCCTCTTTCAGTCAAGGTTTCTTAGCCTCTCCCCTGGCCAGCTCTGAAGCCCAGACACCAGAGGGGAAATGGATTTCAGACTTGGGGGTATCCTGAGAAAGAGCAAGAAAAATAGTGGTCTTCCTTTTGTTGGTCTTCTTCTTCCAGTATATGCCCAAGTTTAAAGAACGAGAGAAAGGGGAGAGACATGAAGATGCAGGAGAACCGGCACTCAAGAGGGCAGGCTGGGTGTGGGGCACACCTGCAATCCTAGCAATTCACCAGGCTGAGGAAGGAGGAGCCCGTGAGCCCAGGAGTTCGAGAGCAGCCTGGGAAACACAGTGAGACCTCATCTCTACTAAAAAATATATATATACATATGTGCATGTGTGTATACATATATGTGTGTGTACGCGTATGTGTGTGTGTGTGTGTGTGTGTGTGTGTGTGTGTGTATGGAATATGGCCAGACATGGTGGCTCATTCCTGTAACCTCAGCGCTTTGGGAAGCTGAAGCAGGCGAATCACCTGAGGTCAGGAGTTCGGGACAAGCCTGGCCAACATAGTGAAACCCCATCTCTACTAAAAATACAAAAATTAGCCGGGTGTGGTGGCATGTGCCTGTAGTCCCAGCTACTTGGGAGACTGCAGCAGGAAAATTGCTTGAACCCGGGAGGTGCAGGTTGCAGTGAGCTGATACACCACTGCACTCTAGCCTGGGAGATAGTGAGATCCTGTTTCAAAAAAAAAATAAAAGAAAAAAAAATTAAAAATTAGCCAGGTGTGGTGGAATGCACCTGTAGTCCTAGCTATTTGGGAGGCTGAGATGGACGGATCCCTTGAACCCAGGAGATGGAGGCTGCAGTGAGCTGTGATTGCGCCACTGCACTCCAGCCTGGGTGACGGAGCAAGATCCTGTGTCAAAAAAAAAAAAGAAAGAGACTCGAGAGAGCAGCTCCCTTTTGGTTGGGAGACGGGGAAGTAACAGAGGGAGATTTTTCAGGCTTGGAAGGACAAAAACACAGTGATGAGGGGAGCTGGTGATGGGAGGAGCCAGGACCAGGAGAGGGCGTGGGGTCCAGGGCAGGGGCTGCCTGGAGGCCTTCTGCAGACAACAGGGATAGTGGGGTGCAGATCCACCCAGATCAGGGCTCCCAGCCCCAGAATCTGCCTCTTGAGGCTCCAGGTTGGTCAGGCCACTGCCCAGCCTCCCCAAGGCCGAGAGGTATCCCCTCCGTTTCATACTTTGGAGGCATGAAGCTGGTATGGTGACCCCAGTGAGTCATGCTCCTGAGAAGGGGTCTGAGCATCATGGAGTCTGGGTCCCTAATCTCACAGGTAAGCGGGGTCAGAGATGGGATTGGCCCCAAATCTCCAGCTGGTGGCCACGCCCTTTCCACCACTCATCACTGCCTGCCATGTGCTTCTGTGATCAAAGGCCTCAGCAGTGCCTCATCAGCACACGCAGGGCAGGCCACAGTCATCCCAACGTAGCATTAAGTGTTTATTTGCTCGTGGGGTGGGAGGTTACTGAGTTTGAAGTACTTCACAACAGGAACTCAAGAAAGTGCCAGATCTCCAGAGGGTAAGGCCCCAGTACATCATCGCGACGTGGGCCTGAGGACCCGCACGGAGGATGCTCCTCACAGCCACATGCAGTCCTCCCATTCTACTGCCGGCTCAGGACCGCCAGCCCCGCTCCCATGAGATGCTGGTCACGACTGTGCCTTTTAGCTGATGCTGGGTGTAGCAGAGCAATTGCATCCTGATGACTACAGTGGCTATGACTCACGGCTGGGTTATGACATGGCTGGGCGGGGAGGGAGGGAGGGAAAAGGAGCTTGCCAGGACAAAGGCTCTGAGCAATGGCATTACTTACTCGAACAGCACCACTGCAAAAGACTGCACCAGGCGGTAGAAGGTTGCCTCGGAGACACACTTGGAGTTGCAGCGCTGTCCAGAAAGAGGCCAGACACATCAGTGAGGTTCCAGGTGACACAGGCCTCACTCAGCGACGCTGCAGGCTTTCCACTCTGAGCGTTTCTAAATGCAGCTGGGATGGGGGCCCAGGATGACCGCTGCCTCTGCACTATAGAACCCGGCCCTCCTGCCAGGCTCGGGCAGAGTGCAGCCACCTGCACCCAACCAGCCCTGGGCAGGGCACACCCAAGTGTTCCCCTCGGTGTCCTTCTCAGATTTTTCAAAGTAGGACCTTCATATACATCCACACACGGAAAGGTACGAGGGACAAAACCCCACAAAGACAATGCTGGCTATTTCCAGACTGTGGTTTTGTGGGTAACTAACTTCTCTTTGCTTATCTGTATTTTCTATTTTCTAATTTTTCCATGAAAAGTAAATAATTTCTGATAAAATTCTTAAAAACTAAGAACTTAGGTCACTCAGGAAAAAAGAAGAACCTACTGGATATTTACAAAATTTAATTCTTTCCTAAACTTCATTAATATACTGTTCTTCACATGGCTGTCATGGTCTTGAATTTTTTCATATTTCTTTTTAACAAAAACCCAGTATTGTGGGTTAATAAAAATATGCATGCACGTAACTCACATGCTTGCCTTTAACAAATGAGCTTTTCTGGAATTTCATGAAGTTGGAAGCCCAGTTTCTTACTCTTTCCCTTAAAGTTTGATGTCCAAATGAGCCATTTCCTGTTTCTCCCTATTCTTTTTTAATTTTCAGAGACGGCGGAAGGAGAGGGTGACTCACTATACTGCCCCAGGCTGGTCTCGAACTCCTGGGCTCAAGCGAGCCTCCGGCCTCAGCCTCCCAAATTACTGGAATTACAGGCATCAGCCACCGTGCCCAAACTGTTTCTGACTATTCTAAATACTCCTTTTGAGAACATTTTTGGGTAAGTTTAACTTTTTTTTCTGTTGGGTCATTTCCCTGGACCCTTTTCTCCAGAGCGTCATTATAGGATAAGGTGAAATTTGTTACACATCAAGGTTCTTCACAATTTGTTCTGTTAAGATTCTTCCTGAAGAGTAAACGCCCATCCTCCGCATCACCTCTCCCTTACCTGGGCACTCACGTAACGAGCAAACCACTCCCGGCCTTTTCCATCTTCACTGCTACAGTACTCTCCAAACTTGGCTTTCTCCTCCTGGTCCAAGTCCTCTCTTAAAAAAAAAAGAACAGAGGAGGGGAAAAAAATAAAACCCTTTTCAATCCCCTGGAGCCACAGTGGAAGAGAAGGAGAAAGAACTAACAAAGTACTGCTCTCCAGCCACACAATGGCACCTGACTCCTGACTCAGCCTCAGGGCAGTGCCATGAGGAAACAGTATTATTGTTATTTCAAAGGTGAGGAGCTGGCTTGGAGAATGATATGCCAGGCTGAGAGTGGAGAACCAGAGTTCCATCCAGGCTTCCTGGTTCCAAAGCCCATGTCCTTGCCCCTGCACTTCCTGACCCCTGCCTAGGGGTCTGAGCCTGGATAAGGGCATGAACCCTAACAGGTCTTGGTTCTCCAGCTTTCTGACTTCCCACTAGTTTTTGATGATGAAGTCAGCATGGAACTGGCCCCTGAATCTAAGACTCCCTGAATTTTCTCTGTCTCAGCATACTGATGCCAAGGTCTGATGCCATGAAGAAAACCATCTCCCACTGATCAGCAGGGTGCTCACTCATCCTTCTGCATTTCCAGAGCAAGGCTGTTCACGGCTGGGACCATCCCCTGCTGTGTGTGTGAGGGATGGAGACTGGGGACCTCTGCCCCGGTGTCACCACCACTAGGATAAATAACATACCCACGGATCTCAGGCCACTTCTCCTCACCTTGGTAAGGGGCCAATACTCTTCCCCAAATTTAAAGACTCAAACATGAAGCAGAAGCCTGAAGATCGCTTGGCTTATGCAATCTTCATTCATTCAGGGTTTTGTAGGAAACATCTTGGTTCTCATCTACTCCAAATACCAACATCATATAAATGGGTATCTGCAGGCTTTTGCAGTAATTTCTGGAATGCCTGTGAAGATGCATCTGACTCAGGTGTCCGCATTCCGTATTGCTGACAGGCTACTGCAAATGCAGACTGCCTTTCCTGGCAAATGAGCAAACTTCTGGGCATTCTCCCTTTTCATTAACTAGGGTGTGCTCAGAGAAAGTGCCCTCATCTCAGTGCTGGTCAAACTAAACAAGTAGGAAGCAACATCTGCTCTCTAAAATGCATTCAAATCAAACATCAATGCATTCTTATTTTGTTGATTTTTTTTTTTTTTTTTGAGACGGAGTCTTGCTCTGTCTTGCCTAGGCTAGAATACAGTGGCAGAATCTCTGCTCAATGCAACTTCTCCCTCCCAGGATCAAGCGATTCTCCTGCTTCAGCCTCCCAAGTAGTTGGGATTACAGGCGCCCACTACCACGACTGGCTAGTTTTTGTGTTTTTAGTAGCCACGTGCTTTCATCATGTTGGCCAGGCTGGTCTCAAACTCCTGACCTTAGGTGATCTGCCCGCCTCTCAAAGTGCTTGGATTACAAGTGTGAACCATCGTGCCCAGCCCATAAATGCATTTTTAGATAGTCAGGTATTTGGATTGTCATACAATGGTTCCCTTTTCTAACCACATAGAAAACTGAGGCTGGTCTCCACCAAATGGAAAGCATGCAGGAAAAGGGAGGAGTCAACCCTCGCCAGTATCCATATGAGGGACTTCAACCACAGTGGGAAACAATGGACTATGCATAGTCAAGAAGCATAATTCCCCCCCTCGTTTTTTTTTTTTTGAGACAGGGTCTCCGTTTGCCACCCACACTGGAGTGCAGTGATATGATCACGGCTCACTGTAGCCTGTGCCTTCCTGTCTCAAGTGATCCTCCCACCTCTGCCTCCTGAGTAGCTGGGACTACGGGTACATGCCACCACGCCCTGCTAATTTTTATGTTTTTTAGGGTTTTTTTTTTGGTAGAGAAGGGGTTTCACTATTTTCCCAGGCTGGTCTCAAACTCCCGGGTTCAAGTGGTCTGCCCGCCTCAGCCTCCCAAAGTGTTGGGAATACAGATATAAGCCACCGCGCCTGGCCACAAATTCTAATTGCTTTAATTAGACTGGAAAACCTTCCCTTGGCCAGTGCCTCTCAGACACTGATGTGTGTATGAACCGTCTAATGACCTTGTGAAAGGCACATTCTCACTCGGTGGGGCCTGGCAGGGCCCAAGACTCTGCATTTCCAACAAGCTCCCGGGAGATGCCAATACCGCTGGCCCACACCGAGCAGAGCAGCAAGTCCATTTGTATCTAGTGTACTGCTGTGAATGGTGGGAGACCCACAGGCACATGGGAAACACATGGCTCCGGCGTTGGTATGCGTCCTCCTTCCCGTCGCTGAGATGTGAAGAGGCAGCACAGCGGGGAGGAAAGGTCAGGTCTATTCACAGCTTCCTGCTTCTCAGTGGACGCCGCAGCCTCAGACTGTCCCTTCCTGCTGCTCCAGTTGTCAGTACTATTTTACCCTCAAGAACCACAAAAGAAAGGCCATCCAGAGGTGCAAGGAAGGGCCCTAGGCAAACAGCGGCTTCAGAATCAGCTGCTGGCCAGTGTGGTGGCTCACCCCTGCCATCCTAGCACTGTGGGGGGTTGGGGCAGGAGGACTGCTTAAGGCCATGAGTTTGAGGCTGTGATGAACTATGACTGCACCACTGCACTCAAGCCTGAGTGACAGAGTGAGACGCTGTAAAAAAAAAAAAAAAAAAAAAATTAGCTGGGCATGGTGGCATGTACCTCTAGTCCCAGTTCCTCGGGAGGCTGTGATGGGAAGACTGCTTGACCCCAGGAGGCGGAGGCTGCAGTGAGCCATGATTGTGTCACTGCACTCCAGCCTGGGTGACAGAGCAAGACCCTGTCTCTAAAAAAAAGAATCTGCTGATTATGAGCACATGAGTATGGGCAACCACAGCTTTATTATCTTATGTTACCCCTATATTTAATTTCAGTGAATAACTACAACCTTTTAGCCAACTATAGCTCTGACACGGAGTGGCTAACCTACAAATGCTCAGGTGCAGAGCGAGTGCCCCTTGTGTTTACCCATGAAGAGCTGAGACGCGTGTGGCGGAGTGATCAGAGCAACGAGTAAGAAGGAAGAAGTGCTGACTGCCACAGAGACAACCCCTTCCAAAGCCTCACTTAAGAATGCATGGAACAAATTCGGGAACAACATGCATTAGAAAATAACAGAACTGCCCCAGGTGTGGTGGCTCACGCCTGTAATCCTAACACTTTAGGAGGCCGAGGCTGGCGGATCATATGAGGCCAGGAGTTCGAGACCAGCCTGGCCAACAGGGTGAAACCCTAACTCTACTAAAAATACAAAGATTAGCTGGGTATGGTGGCAGATGGCTGTAATCCCAGCTACTTGGGAGGCTGAGACACGAGAATCGCTTTAACCTGGGAGGTAGAGCTTACACTAAGCTGAGATTGCACCACTGCACTCCAGCCTGGGTGACAGAGCCAGACTCTGACTCAAAAAAAAAAAAGAAAGAAAAGAAAAAAATAAGACAAACAAACAGAAAACAATGGAGCTCATAGGGATGACGGGAACCTGTGAGCTGGGCACTGTGGAGCCCGTCCCGCCAGGGGTTCCCTGCACGGCTGCCCTTCCAAATCACCTGGGAGCCGCACGTACTTTGATGCTGGGCCTCACTCTAGAGAACTGATGTAACTGGTCTGGAGTGAAGTCCAGACTCAGGTATTCTTTAAACGTTCCCCACGTGGCTCTGCGTGCAGCCTGGGGTGGAGTGAGGCCCCTGCAGTGGTCATCCCTGGCTGATGAGGAAATGGAAGCTCTCGTCCCAGATGGCACCCTGCGGAGAGGCAGAGCCAAGGGCAGGAGGCGGGTCCCCTTGGGCCCTGTGGCCATGCCAGGCTGTCTTGTCCACATAGGCCCCTTACCCTCCAGAGAAGATCTTCTCCACGTAGCCACGCATGAAGTCCCTGAGTGCCAGGGTCTCTTCATCCTGGGTAGATTCGGTGCTCTGGTTGGAGGAGAAGGACTCGTTGGAGGAGGAGCGGCGGTCCTGGTCCCAGGACGGATGTGAGGGCGACTCGCCCATGTCATTTTCACTGTCCGCAGACTCAGTGGTCTCGCTCTCCGACGCGCCGTCCCCCAGGGAGCCATCCTTGTCCTGCAACGCAGGGGGTGGTGTCTCCAGGGAAGAAGAGGTGGGTGCCTCAGGCTCAAAGTCGATTAGGGAGCCCACGGGGACCTCCGGGGCCTCCATGGATGCAGGAGCTGCTGGGGAGGATGCCTGGAGGGGAGCCCAGCAGACTGGTGTCCCAGCTGCGTTAGCAGGAGTCTACCCAGCTCACAAGCCGCCGGTAACTGCGGGCCACCAAGAATGAGTCCTTCGCAGCAGCTCACCTGGGCCTACGGCATCTGGAATGGAAACACAGACACGGACGTTAGTGCCGATCCTCGATCACACACTCCCCTAAAGAGAGGAATCTCTGCTCTTCCAAAATCTGGGGTGCCAGCATCTTCCTGCTGTCCACTTTACTGTTCAACACCTGCTACGTGGTAGGCCCTTAATAAATAAGTTAAATAAATGAACCAAAAAACATGGACAGTCAGGATTTCTCCCAGCTCTGCAAACAGACTGTCAAGGCACTGCGTCTGCTGGCCTCTGCTCTGCTCCAGCCCCACGACTGAGCCCATCACCAGGACAGAAAAGGCCCATCCTGGGCTGGAAATGGAGGATCACCAGGGACGATCCACCTGCCTGCTCGCTGTCACTGAAATCGGTGGCTGTGGAAGAACCTACCTGCTGAGCAACAGACACCTCACCTCCTGGGATCCGACCTCCTCCTTCCTGGGCTCTGTTCTCATACAGACCATTCCCAAACTGTCAGAGATATATCCCCTCTCAGAATCCTTCTCAAAAGCTCTGATGGTTGCTAAGCATGACATTTGTCATCTGGGCCTGTCCCCTCTCCCAGCACTGTAGCCGCCCTGGATGATGACACACCCCGTGGCTTCTCAGGCTGGGCAGCCCTCTCCTTCTCCATTCCCCTCCTCTTTTGTCCGCCATTCCCACATGGAGTTCTATTCATCGCTCCAGGCTCTGCCAAGGCCACATCTTCTGAGAAGCTCCACTCTGCTCCTATTCAAAATGAATGACTGATTCCTCTGCAGACTCCAGCGGTTTATTCAGCCTCGTTTATCATTCTGCTTGCTTTACTGACAGACACCAGTATCTCTGTTTACCCGTAAAGCACATGCCCCTCCAGGGACATGAGGCCCTGGCACTGCTGTGGCCATGCTCTGTCCGGTGAGGACTCCTGACACGTAAGTGTGTGTTGCATGCTTGCTGAACAAAGCAACAGACCCGATCGTGAACATGCTCACTGGTTGGAGGAGGTGGCTACGTCAGTCAAAGGGTGGCAGAGCTGGGATTCGAATCTTCGATTCTAACCCAGGTCTCCTGGCTGCTGGTTCAGGAGGTACGAGGAAACCTTCCTTGCCAGTACAGAGGCAGACAGCTAAGGCAGAAGGGGACGCCCTCTTGACAGCCCCCTCAGAGAAGAGCACACCTCTAACATCAGCCCTGTCTCTGTTAGACCCCAAGTATCTAGGACAATGCTTGCCAGTGAGGTAGCTGTGAAACTGCTGAACTGAACGCATCTTCAGAGGACAATTCAATAGCAGAATGGCCTGTTCTGCCTCTTAAGAGCTTAATGCTCACCGATCAATTACGGATTCCTCCAAATTCCCCAGCCTGGGGTATTTTTAAATACCCAGAGTCAGAAGGAGAAAAGGCTGGCTGCAGGTCACCAGAGTGGTGAAGGGCATTTCAGGGGTGCCCCGCACAGCAAGCCTTGGTCCGGAAGAGAAGCACGACCTCAGCTCAGAAGACCTTTCCAGCTCAGGACAGCATCAAGCGCCCCGATGAGCCCAGACGGCAGTGGTCACAGCTCAGGGGGCTGGTTGGGGTCTCCCCGTGCCATCTGCATCCCTGGCCATGGTCCCTAACTCTCTGGTGGGTCTCCTGGCTGAGGCATCAAGGTTGGATCAGAGACCCAAGGCCCTTCCACAAGCACATTGTCACTAGCCAAAGAACAGAAAGCTGCACCCACGGTAACATGCCTGGCATGAAAAACGAAAAACCACACACTAGGAAAACGTTTACAGTAAATGTGAGAGGACAATGGAGTCAGTGGTATCTGCATTACAAATTCACACAACTCTAAGAAATCTACACTCTAACGGCTATGCAAACCACTCAAGTAGGCCAGGCAGGCAAGAGGAAATACACCTACGGGCCAGGCGCGGTGGCTCTCACTGTCATCCCAGCACCTTGGGAGGCTGAGGCCGGTGGATCACCTGAGGTCAGGAGATCAAGACCACCTTGGGGACATGGTGAAATCCCGTCTCTACTAAAAATACAAAAATTAGCCAGGCTAATTAGACCCCCTGAGAGCGCTGAGGGCTGGCTCAGGGAGGTCGGGGAGGCAGACCTCTAAGCTGAGACAGAAAGACGGAGAACCAGCATTGAAAAGACCTGAAGGTGACCCGGGCAGAGGGAACATGAAGTACACAGGCCCTAAGGTAACCGCTTTACAAAGTTCAAGAACCGAGGAGTCCGGGGAGCCACTGCTCATGGGAGAAGAGGCCACAGTGGTCTGTATTCTGGAAGGGGTTTCCTCACCTCCTGCTGCAAGCCCCTTTGCCCCACTTCCCCCACCGCTTCCTCTTACCCCACAGCCTCCAGCGGTAGAAGGAACTCACGAGATTACCTGGTGTGGCTGCTCCGCCACGTCCCCATGGAGCTGTGCTCACACTGATTTCCCTAGCATCCGGGAAAAACCAGAGCTGTGGCTTCTCTAGCAGGTTGGCCTTGGGCAATCAGACAAGGGCTCCCTGCAGGGAGAAGGTGGAACTTTCTGTAAGTCTGCCCCTTGCCATCAACCTCAAGACACTCCTCTCTTTTAGTGTCCCCAAGAGCCCCAAATGTGCTTCTCCTCTCACCCAGAGTCTGCAAAACCTCAGGCAACACACAACATACACAGCATCACACCATCACATGAGGTGGTGCGCGCCTGCAATCCAAGCTGCTCAGGAGGCTGAGGCAGGAGAATCAGTTGAACTCAGGAGGCGGAGGTTGCAGTGAGCCGAGATCATGCCACTGCGCTCCAGCCTGGGCGACAGAGAGAGACTCTGTCTCAAAAAAATAAAAAAATAAATGTAGTAAAATGACAAATAAAGGTTAAAAAGTTGATGCAGTAGTGATGAGTATATGATGCAATAGGAAAACGTCCACTTTCTAGTGAAGTGAACAGAATATTCTGCAGTTAACCAATGTTTACCGAACGCTGCTGCTTGCCATCCCTGTTCTGGGTGCTAGGAATTCTGAAGTGAGAGAAATTGAGTTTTACTCTAATTACAATCATGTATACATATGCAAAAGCAATGCGAAAGAATGTAGAAGTGTCTGCTGGTGCGGGCATGGGGTGATTTTCTCTTTCATTTTGTTCGTTATCCTGACGATGCGTGGCAAACACTCACAGTTCAGAGGCCAAAAGGAAACAGGTCACAGAATCTGGAAGCCGTTCAAGTGGTAGCAGGGCCGTGTCTCTGCCTACACACAGTAGGTTCAAGATCAACCTGGGGCTGGCACAGTGGCTCACGCCAGTAATCCCAGCATTTTGGGAGGCTGAGGCAGGTGAATCACCTGAGGTCAGGAGTTCAAGACCAGCCTGGCCAACAAGGCAAAAGCTTGTTTCTACTAAAAATGCAAAAATGAGCCAGGAGTGGTGGCAGGTACCTGTAATCCCAGCTACTCGGGAGCCTGAGGCAGAAGAGTCTCTTGAACTGAGGAGGTGGAGGCTGCAGTGAACTGAGATCACATCATTGCACTACAGGCTGGGCAACAAAGCGAGACTCCGTCTCAAAATAAATAAATAAATAAATCAGGCTGGATGATTGTGGCTATTTCTGATCCAGCCTCAGGCACTCTCGGGCTGGTCAGATGCTCTCACAAGTCACCCTCTCCCAGAAGCCCTGAGAGCTTAGTGCCAACCTCCTCCATGGGCTCAGCATAGAGATGACATCACAGGAGAGGCACAAAGTGAGAAGAAGCCGATGGGAAGCAGGAGGGCCGGTCCTGCGTGCTGAACAGTGACAGTTTGCACCACCCCGTCCCCAGACCCCTCAGCTCTGGGATCTCAGCCATCACAGCAGTGACTGTGTATATGGACATGGCGGGAGAAGAAACCCCACCCTCTTCCTTTAGGAAGGAAAGGTCATCATGGGCCTCCAGGCAGGACAAGTGATGGCCACTGTCACACAGCAGGGTCATAGTCTCGGGTGCCTGCCTGCCTGGGCCAGCTGGCGAAAACAGAGGGGGTGGTCCAGCAAGGGGCCCACACTACCCCTGCTCAGAGCCAGCCCAGTGCTGCTATTTGGGAATGCAGACCTAAGAGCATCAGATCTTCCACAGGTTTCTAAGGGATGCTGAAATCTCATTATGTGAAATCCTCCCATTTTTCAATACAGGTAACTAATTTAAATTTATTTCAAAACACTTTGAGGGTCAAAAAACCCATCTGTGGATTGCACCCCAGCCCAACTGCTTTGGTCTACATGCAAGGAGGTACAGAAGCCCACCTCAGGTCCCCAGACTCTGAGATACGGCGTTTTCGGCCACAGAGGACCCTGCGTCACTGGCGATATGAACATGCTGGCCGCGGGCCTGAAGCACTGCAGAGCCCCCTGAGGTTAGTTACACTTTGCAATTGGTGTGGTAGCCCCCATGATGGAGGTTTCCCCAATCAAGTTAGGCTAAAATTCTAAGTCAACTCGTACCTTTCAAAGCCCTTTTGAGATTTTACAAACATCCATTCATTCTGCAAAGGTGCACTGAGCATCTACTATGCATCAGTTACTGTGCAAGGGGCTAGAAATAAAGCTATGAGTGAGACCTTATGGGGCGTGTGTGTGTGTGTGTGTGTACCAGGGGCAGGGTCGGGGGTGGGAGAGACAGTCAACAGAATAAAAAACAAAACAAGAGCTTCTGCAGCACTAAGTGCTACAGAGATGATCTCAAAGTGACGGCCCTGAGGGGGCTGAGAAGTGGCTTCTTTGGACGGGGAGGTCGGGGAGGCAGACCTCTAAGCTGAGACAGAAAGACGGAGAACCAGCATTAAGAAGACCTGAAGGTGACCCGGGCAGAGAGAACATATAGCACACAGGCCCTAAGGTAACCGCTTTAGAAAGTTCAAGATCCGAGGAGTCCGGGGAGCCACTGCTCATGGGAGAAGAGGCCACAGTGGTCTGTATTCTGGAGGGGGTTTCCTCACCTCCTGCTGCAAGCCCCTTTGCCCCACTTCCCCCACCGCTTCCTCTCACCCCACAGCCTCCAGCGGTAGAAGGAACTCACG